GCTACTACACATGTACTACTACATATGTAGTAGTAGCTACTACACATGTACTACTACATATGTAGTAGTAGCTACTACACATGTACTACTACATATGTAGTAGTAGCTACTACACATGTACTACTACATGTGTAGTAGTAGCTACTACACATGTACTACTACATGTGTAGTAGTAGCTACTACACATGTACTACTACATATGTAGTAGTAGCTACTACACATGTACTACTACATATGTAGTAGTAGCTACTACACATGTACTACTACATGTGTAGTAGTAGCTACTACACATGTACTACTACATATGTAGTAGTAGCTACTACACATGTACTACTACATATGTAGTAGTAGCTACTACACATGTACTACTACATGTGTAGTAGTAGCTACTACACATGTACTACTACATATGTAGTAGTAGCTACTACACATGTACTACTACATGTGTAGTAGTAGCTACTACACATGTACTACTACATGTGTAGTAGTAGCTACTACACATGTACTACTACATATGTAGTAGTAGCTACTACACATGTACTACTACATGTGTAGTAGTAGCTACTACACATGTACTACTACATATGTAGTAGTAGCTACTACACATGTACTACTACATATGTAGTAGTAGCTACTACACATGTACTACTACATATGTAGTAGTAGCTACTACACATGTACTACTACATATGTAGTAGTAGCTACTACACATGTACTACTACATATGTAGTAGTAGCTACTACACATGTACTACTACATATGTAGTAGTAGCTACTACACATGTACTACTACATATGTAGTAGTAGCTACTACACATGTACTACTACATGTGTAGTAGTAGCTACTACACATGTACTACTACATATGTAGTAGTAGCTACTACACATGTACTACTACATGTGTAGTAGTAGCTACTACACATGTACTACTACATGTGTAGTAGTAGCTACTACACATGTACTACTCCATATGTAGTAGTAGCTACTACACATGTACTACTACATGTGTAGTAGTAGCTACTACACATGTACTACTACATATGTAGTAGTAGCTACTACACATGTACTACTACATATGTAGTAGTAGCTACTACACATGTACTACTACATATGTAGTAGTAGCTACTACACATGTACTACTACATATGTAGTAGTAGCTACTACACATGTACTACTACATATGTAGTAGTAGCTACTACACATGTACTACTACATATGTAGTAGTAGCTACTACACATGTACTACTACATATGTAGTAGTAGCTACTACACATGTACTACTACATATGTAGTAGTAGCTACTACACATGTACTACTTGTTGTTACTTGTTGTTACTACTACATATGTAGTAGTAGCTACTACACATGTACTACCACACGTGTGGGCGTTGCTCCACCGTTGCTCCACCGCCACTCGTTCGCCGCATCCACGCAATCGTTTCCGTCAATCCGAATCTTTGTGCAGACTGCGCGCGGAGGAATCCGAAAATCTAAGAAGCTCCTTTTATACACGTCCAGTCGGGGGCACGGGGGTCACACAATCTTCAACTTGCATTCATTTATACAGCGGCGGCGGTCTCATTGTCATCATCGTTGTTGCTCCTGTAGTGTTTATAAAGACGAATAAACTTCTTATGAGGCACAACATGTTTATTTTAATTCTTCTCTTACACGGTCTTTAACACACGGAGGGGTATACGGTCCCCTCACCCGATACCCTAAGGAGGTACACCCTCCGGACTCAGCGTAACCTACACACAGGTCTTGGCGGGACTTACACGTCTACCTCTATCCCAGAGTCCTCCGGCTGGGACCTAGGAGAGGCTATCTGACTCACCGCTGGCCCGGTGAGTCCTGACCACTTGATACGCCGAGCCTTAGCCCTCAGAAGGGCTGGAAGGCTGGGTCCAGGGTCCTAGCTATTCTTCAGCCCGGGCTTCGGTCTTCGTGTAGGGAGAGAACTCCCCGTGCTCTGCGTGGTCACCCTTCTTATACCTGTTTGTGGGAAAGGTCTAACCAATCCCACATTCCCACGTGGAACTGTCTGATTGGTTCTTAGCAAACTGTGGCTACGATCCACTTGACTTATTCTGACCCCAACCGTTATGTACACAGAGGTAACGCTGCTCTGCCCCATTGATACCTGGTGGCAATGCAGGTTACCGAACAGTGCGTAGTTAACACCTCTACACTCCCAAGGCGCTGTCCAGCAATGATACAAATTGTACTCAAAGATGAGCAAGGGCTCGTGGGGTTGTTGTTGAAAGTGGCAGTTGTGGTGACATGAGGACAGGCGGGAGTGGTCAAGAGAGGGTTAGGGGTAGCTATAGGGGTAGTGATAGGGGTAGTGATAGTGGTAGTGATAGGGGTAGTGATAGGGGTAGTGATAGGGGTAGTGATATGGGTAGCTATAGGGGTAGCGATATGGGTAGTGATAGGGGTAGTGATAGGGGTAGTGATAGGGGTAGTGATAGGGGTAGTGATAGGGGTAGCTATAGGGGTAGTGATAGGGGTAGTGATAGGGGTAGCTATAGGGGTAGTGATAGGGGTAGTGATAGGGGGAGTGATAGGGGTAGCTATAGGGGTATTGATAGGGGTAGTGATAGGGGTAATGATAGGGGTAGTGATAGGGGTAATGATAGGGGTATTGATAGGGGTAGTGATAGGGGTAGCTATAGGGGTAGTGATAGGGTAGCTATAGGGGTAGCTATAGGGGTAGCGATATGGGTAGTGATAGGGGTAGTGATAGGGGTAGCTATAGGGGTAGCGATAGGGGTAGTGATAGGGGTAGCTATAGGGGTAGCTATAGGGGTATTGATAGGGGTAGTAATAGGGGTAGCTATAGGGGTAGTGATAGGGTAGCTATAGGGGTAGCTATAGGGGTAGCGATATGGGTAGTGATAGGGGTAGTGATAGGGCTAGCTATAGGGGTAGCGATAGGGGTAGTGATAGGGGTAGTGGTAGGGGTAGTGATAGGGGTATTGATAGGGGTAGTGATAGGGGTTTTGATAGAGGTAGTGATAGGGGTAGCTATAGGGGGGCTATAGGGGTATTGATAGGGGTAGTGATAGGGGTAGTGATAGGGGTAGTGGTAGGGGTATTAATAGGGGTAGTGATAGGGGTAGTGATAGGGGTAGTGATAGGGGTATTGATAGGGGTAGTGATAGGGGTTTTGATAGAGGTAGTGATAGGGGTAGCTAAAGGGGTAGCTATAGGGGTCTTGATAGGGGTATTGATAGGGGTAGTGATAGGGGTTTTGATAGTGATAGGGGTAGCTATAGGGGTAGCTATAGGGGTATTGATAGGGGTAGTGATAGGGGTAGTGATAGGGGTAGTTGTAGGGGTAGTGATAGGGGTAGTTGTAGGGGTAGTGACAGGGGTAGTGATAGGGGTAGTAGTAGGGGTAGTGATAGGGGTAGTGGTAGGGGTTGTTATAGGGGTAGTTATAGGGTTAGTGATAGCAGTAGTGGTAGGGGTTGTGATAGGGGTTGTGATAGGGGTAGTTATAGGATTAGTGATAGTGGTAGTGATAGGGGTAGCTATAGGGTTAGTGATAGCAGTAGTTGTAGAGGTAGTGAGACCTATAGACACCCATATAATCACAGGAACTCATATGCTTACAGAGACACCTATATAACGACCTGGACAGTATATAAGTATAAATTAGATGATTCTTATGAAGGGTCATTGCCCAAAACGTGACCCATTATATAAATCTTATTTCTAGATACCGCACCAGGTACTCATTTTATGGCTGAGTCGACCTAGGGGAGGACGCCCATGAAACGGTTCAACCATTCGCTGCGACTGCTGTTGGCCGTGAGCGGGAATCGAACTCGGGTGGACAGGCTCGCAGAGCGGCGTGCTAACCGCTGCGCCACCGCTCCCCGTGACATCGTCACCAAATATAAAACAAAGACAAAGATCAAAGATCCCCCGTGTAGCCTTAACAGGCTGTAGGGGCAAGTGCTGTTAGCGAACACCTATGAAGGCCGGCACGGCACACGAGGGGGTGGGTGGCCAACACCACGCCCGACCGCCTTTATCTCCCTAGTGGCGATGTTTACTACACACCGCACCAGGTACTCATTCGAGGCTGAGTCGACTTAGGGGAGGCCCGGGACCGATTCAGATAATCGTCATTGGTGTCTGGCCGTGAGCGGGAATCGAACTCGGGTCGCCAGGTTCATAGTGCAGCGCGCTAACCGCTGCACCACCGCTCCCCCAGGGGTAGCAGTCGGGGTAGCGCACACACACAGACACAGACATCGACACACCTGTACACACCTGTACACATTCTCACGTAAAAAAACAAACAAACGTACACACAGCCGCACACACCTCTATAACAACAACAACAACCGCCATTCAGCCAATACGTGGCGGTGACGTCACCACGGCGCTCGTGCCAGGCTAGGTGCACTTTGAGGCTGTCGCGTGAAGTGTGGACGGTGCCCTCTCTCGATGCTGCTGCCGCTGATGATGTTGGCAGGAGGAGGTCACGGGACAGACCCAGGTGGCACCATGCGTTGACTGAGATTAGACGCAGACTAAAGACAAAGATCCCCCGTGTAGCATTGACAGACCGTTGGGACAAGTGCTGCTAACGAGCAGCAGCACCTATGGAAGGGCACCGCGCTCAGCCGCCTTTGTCTCCCCCCGTACTGAATTTTATTTTATTTAAACACCAGGCCACCTGACATGTTGAGACTGAGCCGACCTGGGGAGTCGTCGCATTTCAACCTCGCCCCGAGACATTCGCCGTCGTCCGGACTCGAACTCGGGCGGAGAGAGAGAGAGATGGAGAGAGCTACCAAGTTGGTAGCGCAGCGCGCTAACCGCAGCACCACCGCTCATCCTCCCTGCCACCCCCCATGCATTATAACCCCACAGCAAACGACACCACACACCTACGAAGTGGCACCACCATCATCATCCTCATCACCACCACCACAGCGGTGTGCCAGGCTAGGTGCACACGCACGCGCGCGCGTACCCTTACCATCCCTGCCGCGCCCGGTAGAACCCCGGAACGTTGCTCCGCCGTCTCCCCATGCCCCCCGAAAGAAATCGGCGCAGCCGTGCGCCCCAGCGGGGCTGATTGAGATAACGCGGTTTAATTTTAACCGCGCTGAAAATAGCTTCAGCAATGTGGGCCCAGAGTGAGCACATTAATGACAGAGTGCGAGCGCGTGTGTGTCTATGTGCGTGTGTCTCTGTGTGTGTCTCTGTGTGTATCTCTGTGCGTGTGTGTCTCTGTGTGTGTCTCTGTGTGTGTCTCTGTGCGTGTGTCTCTCTGTGTGTGTCTATGTGCGTGTGTGTCTCTGTGTGTGTCTCTGTGCGTGTGTCTCTGTGTGTGTCTCTGTGTGTGTCTCTGTGCGTGTGTGTCTCTGTGTGTGTCTCTGTGCGTGTGTCTCTGTGTGTGTCTCTGTGTGTGTCTCTGTGCGTGCGTGTCTCTGTGTGTGTCTCTGTGCGTGTGTGTCTCTGTGTGTGTCTCTGTGTGTGTCTCTGTGCGTGTGTCTCTCTGTGTGTGTCTATGTGCGTGTGTCTCTGTGTGTGTCTCTGTGTATGTCTCTGTGCGTGTGTGTCTCTGTGTGTGTCTCTGTGTGTGTCTTTGTGCGTGTGTGTCTCTATGTGTGTCTCTGTGTGTGTCACTGTGCGTGTGTCTCTGTGTGTGTTGCTCTGTGTGTGTCTCTGTGTGTGTTTCTCTGTGTGTCTCTGTGTGTGTCACTGTGCGTGTGTCTCTGTGTGTGTCTCTGTGTGTGTCACTGTGCGTGTGTCTCTGTGTGTGTGTCTATGTGTGTGTGTCTCTGTGTGTGTCTCTCTGTGTGTGTCTCTGTGTGTGTCACTGTGCGTGTGTCTCTGTGTGTGTCTCTGTGTGTGTCACTGTGCGTGTGTCTCTGTGTGTGTGTCTATGTGTGTGTGTCTCTGTGTGTGTCTCTCTGTATGTGTCTCTGTGTGTGTCACTGTGCGTGTGTCTCTGTGTGTTTGTGAGGAGCGGTGGTGTAGCGGTCAGCGCTACGCTGCGCTACGAACCCGGCGACCCGAGTTCGATTCCCGCTCACAGCCAACACCGGGCATACCCTAGGTCTACTCGGCCTCAAATGAGTACCTGGTGCGGTGTGTAGTAAACATCGCCACTGGGGAGACAAAGGCGGTCGGGCGTGGTGCTGGCCACCCACCCCCTCGTGTGCCGTGCCGGCCTTCATAGGCGCTGATACTCGCTAACAGCACTTGGCCCCACATCTGTGTAAGGTGTTCCATGTTTGGTTCAGGTCACATCATGATGGAGGGGTCCACGGTTTCCAAGAAAATAGGGAGGGCATACTGTAACTGTGGCCGCGAAGGCCGAGAGATGCATAGAGGGACCGACGCAGACTCACATAGAGACCCATAGACTCACACAGAGACCCATAGATTCACAGAGATCCATAGACTCAAATAGAGACCCATAGTGTCGCACAGAGAGGCCCATAGAATCACACAGAGACCCACATAGACTCACACAGAGACCCATAGCCTCACAGAGAGACCTACATAGACTCACAGAGAGACCTATAGACTCACAGAGGGTCCTACATAGACTCACATAGAGACCCATAGACTCACACAGAGACCCACATAGACTCACACAGAGACCCACATAGACTCACAGAGAGACCCATAGACTCACACAGAGACCCACATAGACTCACAGAGAGACCCATAGACTCACACAGAGACCCACATAGACTCACAGAGAGACCCATAGACTCAAAGAGAGACCCATAGACTCACACAGAGACCCACATAGACTCACAGAGAGACCCATAGACTCACACAGAGACCCACATAGACTCACAGAGAGACCCATAGACTCACACAGAGATCTACAGACTCACAGAGAGACCCCAATAGACTCACATAGAGACCCATAGCCTTACACAGCTGAATCAGTACAGGGCGACTTGCCAGACACCGTCCACTCGGTACGGGCCCCCTGGTTGGACACAGAACTCTCGAAACAATACACGGGGCGTGAACAATGAAGGTCACGTGTGGTGGGTGGGTGGGTGGGGGGGTGAGCAGAGTGGGGAGCTTTGATTGGCCCTGTGGGTCCCAGGGCACGCGACTCACGGGGCTGTCGAGCGATAACGCGGACGGACACCTCGAGGTGTCTGTCCTTCAAACATCCGCGGAAGTTCCTCCACACCGCAATGTGTTGGTGGTAGGGGGGGGAGGGGGGCGTGTGCCTTGCCTGGCCCCTGTGGGTCCCAGGGCACGCGACTCACGGGGCTGTTGAGCGATAACGCGGAGGGGAACCTCGAGGTGTCGGTTCTTTAAACATCCGCGGAAGTTCCTCCACCCTCCACAATGGGACGTGTGGCAAGGGGAGGCGGGGGGGGCGGGTGGAGGCGGCTTTGCTTGGCTCTGTGAGTCCCAGGGGCACGTGGCTCGCGGAGCTGTCGAAAGATAACGCGTAGAGACACCCAGAGGTGTCGGTTCTTTAAACATCCGCAGAAGTGCCTCCATCTCTCCGCACCTCCCCTCTTCCATGTCCCCCCCACCCCCCACGTTTCGATTACATTAAAATCCTGAAGCCAGGGCTTAATATCTCACTCACTCGATTATTCCCGGGACGCCGCTGCTGGTATAGAGCCGGCTTGGGGAGCCAGGTGATTATCGGCGTAAGGCACTACCACTAGATTACCAGGTATGCCGATGTATAATAACCCTCTTGCTATTGCACAATTTTCTCCCTCTTTTTGGAGTTCAAATTCTGGTTTGGGAGGTGTGGGGTTGACTCAGCCCATCATCATCATCCCGTCGGGGTTGATAAAATAGGTACCACTTGGAGGGGAAATTAACATCAACGGTCAACAATTCCACGGGGCACAAGTCTCTCCAAAGGACAAGACATTTTGACTTTTGCCACAAATTGGTATCATTTTAATGACGCTGGATTGCTGATGGTGATGATGGGCTGAGCCAACCTCCATCTACCCCAGCCAGGATTTGAACTCAGTATTCTACAGCTGAGGAGCTCCTGGGCCGCGTGGTGCTGATGTTGATGATTACTATGCAGTGTTTTGATTAGTGATGAATATCATGTGTCTATAAATACAGGGTGGCCGAGAATTAAAGGTAGATATGGTTATTATACAGGGTGGCCGAGAAATCAGGACACATAAGTGTATTGTACATAGTGGCCTAAAAGTGAAGATACATAGGTTTATTGAACAGAGTGGCCCAAAAGTGAAGACACATAGGGTTATTATATAGAGTGGCCCAAAAGTAAAAAAGGACATAGGTTTATTATACAGTCCGGCCCAAAAGTTAGAACAAGCAGGGTAATTATACAAAGTGTCTCAAAAGTCAGGAATCGGGTTATTGTACAGAATGGTTCAAAGGTCACTGGACGTTTAACTGGACGACTCAGGATCGGTGGCTCAGAGGCAGAGGAGCCATAGACTCACACAGAGAGCCATAGACTCACACAAAGAGCCATAGACTCACACAGAGAGCCATAGACTCACACAGATAACCATAGACTCACACAGAGAGCCATAGACTCACACAGAGAGCCATAGACTCACACAGAAAGCCATAGACTCACACAGAGAGCCATAGACTCACACAGAGAGCCATAAACTTACACAGAGAACCAGAGACTCACACAGAGAGCCATAGACTCACACAGAGAACCATAGACTCACACAGAGAGCCATAGACTCACACAGAGAGCCCTAGACTCATAAAGAGAGCCATGGACTCACACAGAGAGCCATAGCTTCATACATAGAGTCATAGATTCACACAGAGAGCCATAGACTCACACAGAGAGCCATAGACTCACACAGAGAGCCACAGACTCACACAGAGAGCCACAGACTCACACAGAGAGCCATAGACTCACACAAAGAGCCATAGACTCACACAGAGAACCATATACTCACACAGAGAGCCATAGACTCACACAGAGAGCCATAGACTCACACAGAGAGCCATAGACTCACACAGAGAGCCAGAAGCTCACACAGAGAGCCATCGACTCACACAGAGAGCCATAGATTCACACAGAGATCCATAGACTCAAACAGAGAGCCATAGACTCACACAGAGAGCCATAGACTCACACAGAGAGCCATAGACTCCCTCAGAGACACCCACAGAGAGCCATAGACTCGCACAAAGAGCCATAAACTCACACAGAGCCACAGACTCACACAGAGAGTCATAGACTCACACAGAGAGCCATAGACTCACACAGAGAGCCATAGACTCACACAGAGAGCCATACACTCACACATAGATCCATAGATTCACACAGAGACCCACAGACTCACACAGAGAAACATACACTCACACAGAGACCCATAGACTCATACAGAGACAGACTCACACAGAGACACATAGATTCACACAGAGACCCATAGACTCACGCAGAGAGCCATAGACTCACGTAGAGAGCCACAGACTCACACAGAGAGCCATAGACTTACACAGAGAGCCAGAGACTCACACAGAGAGCCATAGACTCACACAGAGACTCACACAGAGAGCCATAGACTCACACAGAGACACCCATAGGCTCCCATAGAGAGCGGTAGAGAGGCGCGGGGAGAGAGTGGGACACACACAGAGGTATCATATTCTTGACGCGTGCGTGCGCGTGTGGAATGTGCTGCTAATCCAGGCGAGATTCAAATATAACGCGTCTACACACAGACACACGCATACAGACACAAAACAAAGACTAAGACCCCCCGTATAGCCTGTAACAGCCTTTTGGAGCAAGTGCTGTTAGCCAGCACCTATGATGGCCGGAACAGCACACGAGGGGGTGGGTGGCCAGAACCACGCCCGGCCGCCTTTGTCTCCCCAGTGGCGATGTTTACACACCGACCTAGCAAAGGCCCAGGACCGGTTCAGACGATCGTCGCCGATGTCGGCGACTGTGAGCTGGGAATCGAACTCGGGTTGCCGGGTTCGTAGCGCAGTAGCGCTAACCGCTACTCTACCGCTCCGCCACCAAACAAAAATCACACAACAACAACAACCGCCATTCGCCACTAAGTGGCGGTAACGCCAACACGACGCTTGTGCCAGGCCATGTGCACCGTGAGGCCACGTGAAGTGTCGAACGCCCGCTGGCAGGAGGTCACGGGGCAGATCC